AAAAAAAAAGACGAAGGAAAAACATATAAGTACTCAGTTTTTTGTAACTTCTGTTCCATCTACATTCTTTTTTTTTCTTCTTCTTCTGCTTCTTATCTTAAAAAACACTTAAATATTTTATTGCAAAAGAAAAATCAGTACTGCTTTAAAATTTAAAATTATTAATTTAAAATAATGCAACGAACCAAAAAAAAACACACAGCAACAGAATTTTATTGAGTTACTTTTTTCCTCCTCCTTTTTTTGTTTACTTTTTTTATTGAATCTTTCTCCTAACTGCTTATTGATTTCAAACTTTACAGAAGAAAAAAAAGAAAAGAACATATGTATTGAAGAAAAAAAAAAACCAAGGCTCGAATAAAGAAAAAGACATTATTTTTTCTTTCTCTTTATTTACTAACCACATTTTTTTTTCTTCATTTGCTTTTTTTTTAAGCTCTTTCTCTTCCTTGTTGCTGAAATTTCGCTTTTTTCTTTTCTTAGTATTTAATAACCTTAGTAATGTTCAATAACCATCAGTAAACATGCCGATGAATTAAACAGTGGTAAACCAACTCTTAAATTAATAGTTTGCTGTCAACGCTGATAATAATGATGGGGTCAGATACAAATAGAATCTAACAGCAAAAGAAGAAACTGTTGTAAACAATATAGAATTTTACTCAGTTACAACATTTATACTATGACAATAGACAACAGGTACTGTTGTGGAGTCTGATACAGATAACTTCTATTTTTGTCAACATGAACAGTTACAGATATCGCCAATCTATACGGATTTGGGTAACGATGTTCCCAACTACGGTATGCCACCGCCGCATCCCCTTCCGAATCACTACGGTGTCGGTATGGATCCGTCAGACATAGATTTTTCGCCACAGATCAATGCCTCAGATCTATCATCACCGTCGTGCAGCGAATAACCACCACTACGCATACCGCATACAATTTTTTTTTTTTTTGTTCACTTTGTCATACATATGATGTTCTTTTTTTTTCTTCTTCTTCTTCTTCTTCGCTTTCTTCTTCTTCTTCTTCCCTTTCTTCTTCTTCTTCTTCTTCTTCTTCTTCTTCT